CAGGCAATTGCAAGTATATTGGGCACAAAAGTGACTTCATATTTTTAGTTGTAGATATTAATTTAACAAGTACTGAAAAGAGAAGGAGAGAGAGAGAATTGAGAGAAAAAGAGATTGAGAGAAAGAAAGGAAACAGTAGTTTTAATGACATAATTAAGGACAATTGCTTCTAAAATAATTGTATATCCTTCCACCAGAGGGCAACATTTGCAAGTCATTTAAAGGATCTCTCAAATGTATTTCCTCACAAGGATATAAACAAATGCAAACCTATCACATTGTTATTGGGTAATATCTTCTATAAATTTTAAAGAATACTATAAAGACAATTATTTAAACAATTGCATATAAAACTCAATAACCAGTCATAGTAAAACAAGCAATAAATTTATTCTTCTTTCAATATGTAAGAAGATACAACTTTCAGAAAGAAGTAGGGTTTTCTATAGTATTGGCATTTTTCTCTTTTCATTATTAACTATTTAGCTCAAATACAATAGAACAATCTTATGGTGGAATAAACAAGGGAATTGTGGCTTTACATCAATGAATAAATTAACAAAAAAAGTCATAAAATTTTACAAGTAGAAGGTATAATAGAAACCACTTACTATAAACCTTCATTTACACAATTAAGGAACCAAAATTTATTGAATTAAATGATTGATTAAAAATTATAAGGATAAGGGGCACCTGGCTGGCTCAGTCGGTTAAGTGTTTGACTTCAGCTCAGGTCATGATCTTGTGGTTTGTGAGTTGGAGCCCCACGTCGGGCTCTGTGCTCAGAGCCTGGAGCCTGCTTTAGATTGTGTGTGTGTGTGTGTGTGCGTGTGCGTGTGTGTGTGTGTGTCTGCCCCTCCCCTGCTTGTGCATTCGCTTTCTCTCTCTCTCTCTCTCTCTCTCTCTCCCTCTCTCTCTCTTTCTCTCTCTCGAAAATAAACATTAAAAAAAAAGTTACAAGGATGACAATCCACAGAATCAAGACCCAAACCCAGGTCAGCACATTTCACCTTTCATACTCTACACTGTCAATAGTCAAAGTGTGATTTATCAGCAAGTAGTCTTGAAAACTTGTTAAAACTGCTGAATCTTGGGCTCCACTTTAGACCTATTGAATCAGAATCTGTGTTTTCTTAAATTGCAAGAAACTACACTAACTCATGCTCCTTCTTCATCACTGTTTGCATGTCTTCAGGCAATTCATTAAATCTAATTTTTCTTCTCAATAAATGGGAATAAAATTAGTCTGGAGAATACAAGGAATAAATGAGATCATGTAAATCAAAGTCATTCATAATTTGTAACATGCTACACACATTAAATAAATTCAAATAAATCTCTTATTTTTAATAATATTTCATAGCTTATATATTTTGAGGGGGAGGTAGGATCAGAAAGAAGGAGAGAGAGAGAGAATCCCAAGCAAGCTGTGCACTGTCAGCACAGAACACAATGTGGGGCTCAAACTCAGGAACTGTGAGATCATGACCTGAGCCAAAAACCAAGAGTTGGATGCTTAACCGACTGAGCCACCCAGGCACCCCGAAAGCTTTTATTTTTAAGAGTGCTTGGGTAGAGGGGACAATTCCTCTATAAGAAGACTTGTCTAATAATTCCATTTAAAGCACTGTTAAAATTGGCTGGAAGAAGATGGAAGAGGTAAGGGAGGTAAGGGAGTAAGGAGGTAAGGGGGGTGTCCACAAAAAGGAAGTCTTTTCCATATGACTAAATTAATACCATATGTGTAACTACTACTATTTTTGCATAAAGAGAAATCTGGTGATCTTAAGGTCACAAAAGTACATGTTCAGTGTTTGAATTTGGGGATCACACATGAAGAGAATCTATTAGATATGTAAATAGTGCCTGAATATTTGTCTCTTATATTGGGAGCTATTAATTCAAGAAAAGCCTATATGGCATTCTTTGGTCTCAGGTGGCCTAGTAACAATTCTTGTAATTTTCCACATAGAATATTTTTCCCTTGTTTATGACTTTGCTCAAGATGTCCCCTCTGGCTGGGATGCTCTCCAAGTATCACCACCCCTCCTCACCCAATTCCACTAGGCTATCATCACCTTCTTGGAGCTAAGTTTCTCTTAAAGTATTAAGACAGACAAGGAAACATCATTTCCTGGTTTCTCTTCCATATACTTTCACTCCCAGGCTGGGTCATCTTCTTGTCCAATTTCATCCATAATTATTTGTAATTGTATTTATGTGTCTATTTCCCATAGCTTGTGAGATCTTTCTGGGAATATTCTCAGAATCTAGTACAATTCTTGGCACTAAATGAGTATTTTTTGAATGAATAAATCAATATTAGCAATAATTCTGATTCAAGTACTTGCCCTGTTATCAAGAGAATGGAGGAGCCAGATGACATTAATTTCAATAAGGTGAATGTAATTATTTTATTCTAGAAACAATGTTTTCATGTTGGATTTATATTGCTTGGTGCCCCACAGATAATCTATAGTGCAGAGTTAGCAATTAAGTTTATTGGTGGTTTAGATCTCTAGTTATTTGAGGTGAAATGTAAGCAGGAGTGCTGAGGAGAATCAGTTTTATATCACCTTCCTAGCTTCACAGATATTTATTTAACTTCTATTTTTTGCATCACTTCGCAGAATTTCAAAATCATGGATATCCCTAAATGAATTTGGTCTATTGAACTTGTTCACTAAAGATTTGAAAAACATACATATTTTGAAAAGCACCCTAGATGAGTAAGATCCTAATTAACTTGAATCTTTTATTTGGAAGGAGGTAGATTAGTGGGGTTTTTCCCCCTTCTTATACTTGATCATCTTTAGGGATAGATACTATCTTGAGGCATTCTGGAGTTTAAGAAAAATCTGGTCCACTGTTTTATAGGGATATATATTTTAATACATGTTTATAAAAATGAGAGAAAGATGCCTCTAATATTCTTTTCATCATTATAATTCATAATGAAATATAATATGACAACTATCAAATTTAATAATGACAGATGGTTTTAGCTACTTTTGATAATCTTTTTTTTTTTTTTTTTTTTTTTTTTTTTTGGCTATCCATTCAGTGTATACACACCCATAGTATAATTTGTCCTATTCAGGGAACATTCTTACATGATTCTCTATTTAGATCCATACTTTTGAGATTTGGTCCCAAAATCCCTAAGAAAAATCTACTCCCCCTGTTGGCCTAAATAAAATCCAAGGATTTTGACCTTGGCAATGTGACTCAAGGGCAATCAGTTTTGTAATCACTTGGCTGAATTGCATCTAAAAGGTTTGTGATTCATGTTAAATGCATTAATAATTAACAGTAAGCTAGCATAGCTTTTTGGCTTTGCTTAATGAAATAGATTCATTGATGCTGTACCTATGTATGTGAAAACAAATGTCTTACATAAATGTCTCTCTATAATTCTGTTTTAGGGGAAGGTGGTACAAGGAAAAAAATCACATTTTAAAGAAATGTAAGCAATTTCAAATAAATCATGAAAATATTAATGATAATTTGTTGACAAGCACAAGATACAGCCACAAATTTTGTCAGTATATTGATATTTCCATCGTGTGCTGCAAATTAGTTAAGCAAAGAATCAAAAAATTCCAAGGAATTTATATTAAACTGCCTATATTTTATTTAACCAAGGGCAATGAGGTTGCAGCTTGTCTTTTCTTTCTTCCTCTCCCCTCCTCCTTCCCTTTCTGCTTTCCTCCTCTCTTTTTCTTTCCTTTCTTTTCTTTCTGTTTTTCTTTCTCTTTTCCTTCCTTCCTTCCTTCCTTCCTTCCTTCCTTCCTTCCTTCCTTCTTTCCTTCTTATCAGGAATTAAAACAAAACACAACACATGAACAATGTAATTATGCATTCTGTGTGCATATGTTTTATATCCAAGGGAGCCCAAATGCCCCAGAATTCCACAAACATAAATGAAACATGTACTCTTCCTTCCCTGCAACATTGTCAGAGCTGGCGGTAGTGTGCTGGGCAAAACGTAGGAAACTAGAAGTAACTTGTCAATTTTTAATTAAGTCTTCCTCCCTTGAAGAGTCAAATGCACCATTCTCCCTGAAAACTCTGGAGATGATGACATATTTCCACTTGGTTTCCATAGCATCCATTCCTGAAGATCCCCAGAATGGTCTTTGGTCAGGGCGACCACCCAGCTCCCCAAGAAAAGTTGGCAACCTGGCCAGCCAAAAGCAGCTTTCCCTTTTCCGGAAACTTACTCTGTCCGTGGTGCTGAACAATTGTGCCGAGACGCGCCCTGAGGAGCGCTGTCAGCCGCGCTGAAAAAATCTTCCCTGACGCTGCCCAAATCAGAACTGTGTATCTGTTATTTACTCACGTCCTCAAAGAGCAGCAAGCTTTCTCCATCTTAATTCGACACTACCGCAGAGCAGAGTTGCGCCGGCGTGATAGGAGGAGATCATAGGCAAGGAGGAAAAACTAACATCAGCATTGCTCACCTGAGACCTCAGATGCTCCCATGAGTTTGGAAGTGCTCTGCTCCCTACAGCAAAGACACCATTAAAAAAAATACTATTCTTCTGACTTTGCTTTTACACAAAGGTTCTGTGGTATTTCCGCCTTTCGTTTAAAAGCCAGAAGATTTGGCAGCAATAAGGTTTTCAAAATCGGGAATTTGCATTGTTTTTCAGTGGACTGACTTCCAGGACAAGGACTCATCTGCACCCGCCCAAATACCATGGCACTGCGTGCGCCCTTTGCCACCGGATCCTCCCCTTCCAATGAGACTTTCTGATTGTGTCTACCAACTCTCCTATTAGGAAACCCGTGGGTTGCATGCAGCTATTCTGTTGTATTCTCTTTCTCACTCCCTCCCCTCTCTCACTCACACTCTTGCTGGAGGCACACCAATACCGTTCTGCTGAGAAGAAAAAGCCCACAACTACCTTAAGCGATTAAGACAATATGCGCATCTCTCGCCTTTCATAGCGATCACTATACAAATCTGGCAAGAGCCAACACCAGTCTTTGCAAGAATGGAGTCGGTAAAACAAAGGATTTTGACCCCAGGAAAAGAGGGGCTAAAGAATTTTGCTGGAAAATCCCTTGGCCAGATCTACAGGTAAGAGAAACCCATATTTGCCTGGGCAAACCCATATTTGCCTGGGGATCAGCATGAAAAAATCTGCAGGGCTATTTCCGTAAACCCTGCTTGCTTTGAGAGGTTGTAATATGATCGGAAAGTCTTTTTTTGTTGGTTGCTGCTATTGCTCAAGCGGGGCTGCTCTGGAAACCTGCTTATTAATTCAGGAATGTTGCACTAAATGAACCTGTGTGCTGTGTGTGTGTGTGTGTGTGTGTGTGTGGTTTTTGTTTTGGTACCTGCAGATTCTCATCCTTTCCTACCCGGGATTTACCCTCTTTACAATTGAGAAATGACCAGCACCTGTTCAAAGAATCTTTCTTTTGGTGCTCATAGTGACAACAAATTCCTTTAATGCAGACACATGAATTTAGAAAATACAACCCTCAAAGAAATCAACCAAGAAATTCCAAAGAGTAATGGCAGAAAGAAATTTAGACCTCAGCTTTAAAACAACTCAAGTAGATAATCTCCCAGTGGAATCTTCCTTCTGTGCTGAAGGAGGAAGAATCAAAATATATCAATAATTAATAGCTGAAGCATTTCCTCTACCCAAATCCAAAACAATATATATGTGCTTTAATTATTTGACTTTTCTGAGAAGTCTATGTCTTGCATGGCAAATGTCAGTGTTTATAAGAAAAAGCATAATGACTTTGAAAGTACTGGCAATGATTTAATTTTTTATCGTCCCTGTAGTCAATGTACTAATTATGCTGAAAATTTTGCAACTTTAAATTATTTTAAGAATATTATATGAGTACACTCTCCTTAATAATATGAGCAAAATCAATAAGAGAGGGCAGAAACAGAAGGATAAACGATTCCAAGAGAGCGCTAATTTTCACATTTGGGAAAATGAAGCCCTTAGAAGTGTAGAGAAAATGTACACAAAATGACCAATGCACTTCCTGATTTTCCAAATCTCTTTGGATCTGGTGGGCTTCATGTAGGCACCCCATCATGCACCTATGCGGCAATAGATACCGCAAGGGCCCTGCAGTCCCGCAGCTGCCCTGGAAAAAAGCTCTTCTTTCCCAGCTCAATTGCCATCAGGTGGGGAGTTCAGGTGCATAGTCCAACTTTGCATATAACAGCCTAGGAAGCCAATGTAAACAAAAAAAATTGAAAAGAAAAGAAAGAAAGAAAGAAAGAAAGAAAGAAAGAAAGAAAGAGAGAGAGAAATCACATTAGTTGAATTTTTTCTCCCAGAAGAAATTGCCATGTGTTCTGACTTTGGGATTGAACTTTAAAAATACGAATTAACATAGCTGCAAAAACCTTTATGACTTATTCCCCAGGTGGTATTTTGTAAAATTTGGAAGTCTGACATTTTTTTTTTTCTGGTAGCCTCAAATTGTTTGGCAGTCAGCTCCCAACCTGTGCATTCTTGGAATTGATCTTAAAATTTCATTTGCTTTACTCCCATGTATGAAAATAATTGTGTGTGAATATATCACTTAAAAGGGCACACAGAAAAATGAACTATACAGTGGATTGAAAAACATCTGCAAACTGTAAACGGAGAGGTTCTTTGTTTAAATATCGAAAGTATCCATCCCAAGAGTCCACAGTAATTGTACTGTTCACATTCATTCTCTCTCTCTCTTTTTAGTAGACATTTCACAGATATATCGTGGACTAGCATAACACCCTCAGCTTTTAGCAAAACCATTCCATCACTCCCCATTCCCCTTCTCCCTTCCTCCTCCCCTCAAGGACGAAAACCTAAAAGGAACTGAATTTTAAGGGTGAAATCTTGTGAAATACTATGCAGATTAAAAAACACAAAACAAAGCAAAAATTTGAGATCTACTGTGGTGTGGGACATCTTACCAGAGTTGATTTGGGGCACGTCTGTGTATCTGGAAGTCGCATTTTACGTCTTTGGAAATGTGCCCAAGACATTTTTCGGTGTTTGTAACCGAGATAGTAATGACGCAAGATTGTGAATAATTAATTATTCATGTTCTGGCAGTAGGAAGCTTAGGTGTCGGCCATATGCTGCGGAGGCCTTTGTTTCAAACTCGAGTAACAAGGAGAAGAAAGTAAGATGTGTAACGGGAGAGTAAACGGTGAACAGGCACCCTGGGACTGGAGGAATGGGCAATAGAATGCGTGCGTGACACTCTCAGAGAGCGCTCACAAGACCTTCTCCGCGTGGGCGCCGGTCAGGAGCGGCCTTAGTCCCTGGGGGTCCCCGCGCTCAGCTAAGAGGCAGGATCGCGTGTCTTTAACCCAGAAGGTTCAACTTAGCTGGGAAGGAAGGGGTAGCGCGGGTGCAGGTCTGAGCTGGGCTGGCCTGCAGAGCACCGACCCTCGGGAAGCTAGTGGCTGGATAAAACCGACCGTCGCCGGGGGTAAAGCACTGCAGGTGGGAGAAGTCTACACGGTTGCTGACGAGGCGCCGCTCCAGTAACCCACTCCCTCCCAAACCACAGACCCTCGGAGAAAGTTAGACCCCAATTGCCTGTGTCTGTTAATCCAACCCGCTGCGGGGTGGATCCCGAGGGAATGCGGGCTGGGTGCCACGGGCCAGACGGCATTAAAGTTGAAGAGATGCTGCGGCAGGGAGGGGGGCTAGCAGGAGGCTGGAGAGCCGGGGAGGTCCCGAAGCCTGGTGGCGCCCTAGCACCCTAACTCCTGAAGGAGTCGAGCGAGGCAGCGCCCCTCCCCGCCCCCAGCCCTGACGGGTCCTGGGAACTGGGATGGGTCGGCGTCGGGGGTGCCTAACCCGCCGCGTCCTTGCCTTTCCCCCGCTCTGCCACGCAGGGTGCTGGAGAAGAAGCAAGACACTGGGGAGACCATCGAGCTGACGGAGGATGGGAAGCCCCTGGAGGTGCCCGAGAAAAAGGCTCCACTGTGCGATTGCACCTGCTTCGGCCTGCCGCGCCGCTACATCATCGCCATCATGAGCGGCCTGGGCTTCTGCATCTCCTTCGGCATCCGCTGCAACCTGGGCGTGGCCATCGTGGACATGGTCAACAACAGCACCATCCACCGAGGGGGCAAGGTCATCAAGGAGGTGGGCAGCCGCTGGCCGTGTGGGTTCGCAAAGCCGCCTCACCTGTTTGAGCTCCATTTCCCCCCTGAAAGAGGAAGGCCTGAAGGCTCGCCAGGCCCCTGCTAGCGCTTCTAGAATAGGAATAGACCGCGATAGCCGTTAAGGCCTCCCTTTTCGCTTCCGCTCTCTGGGCCTTCCTTTTCTCTCTCACCTGCAAAGTGGAAAATAGCATGTAGCTCACTAGCTTCTTGTCAAGAGTGGCTCCATACCAGAAGTTGGTGCTTACTAATGTACGCTAAATTTAAATCGAAATATTTTTCTTTCACTCGGAGGAAGGAGTAAGGCAGCATATCGGTGATAATGTCTCCCTGATTTCCTCCAATTCCTGCCAAACAGTCTTAATAATAAAAATGAAACAAAACCGAAATCAGATCAACTGTGAGCATATGGGCAGTTTCCACCGAAGGGCCTTTAGGAGTTGTCCACTTAACTGGTGGAGAGAAAAGCCAAGCTCAGCAGTGCCTTGAGGTCACCGGTCATCCAGTCCGGTAATCTCCTGAAGGGTGTGTTGGGGTGATGGGTAGGGAGAGGAAGGTCAATGTCAAAGTCACTGAAACCTGTGGGTCTAGACGTCCAGTTCAGGGATCTGAGCGACCATTAACAAGGCAGAGCCGGGGTAGGGGGGAGAGAAATTCGGGAACTCACTGTGGATGCGAAGCTGTGAGCGCCGCTGGTCCCCGGGTATTCCCAGAGACCCCGCAAAGCAGATTTAGTTTCTTTTTTTTTTTTTTCAACATTTGTTATTTTGGGACAGAGAGGGGAGACAGGCATGAACGGGAGGAGAGGCAGAGAGGAGGAGGGAACACAGAGATAAGGAAACAGGCTCCCAAATAGGCAAATGGCCAGAGCTGACAGGGGAGACTCAGAACTCACTGTGCAGATGATCGTGACTGGCCAGCGAGAAGTCGGACAGCAACCGACTGCCTGCACCCACAGCAGGCGCCCCCAGGTGGATTTCAAAATACTACTCAAAGAGACGAAAAGGATCCTCAGTTCCTCAGGAGGCATAAGCCCTCCTCCGCCTTTCCGATGCAGATAGCAGGAGTTCACCCCAGGCTGGCAGGGCAGGTTGGAGGCCTTGACCTTCACACACACCCCTCTCCAGCTTTTCTGAACACCCCCGAGGAAATCCTCCTCTCCACTGACCACCCCCACCCATTCCCCAGGCTACTCCAAATCTTGCCCGCCTACGCCCATCCCCATTTTGCCTGGAGGATCCTTTCCTCTAGCTCCTCCGCCTCCTCACCTTCCGTCCCAAATTCCCCACCTTCCTTCCTCAGAATTTCCCTGGTTGGATTTCATTCTGGAAGAGACCCCACTACTGCTTTAGTACTGGCTGGCATCGGCTAAACGGACCCCGGTCAGGGGGTCTCTGTCCCCAGCCAGCAAATGGAATCTCTTCCTGGGGAGTTCTAGTTTTCAAAACTGGAGCCCGGAGGACTCCTCATTCATCGAGGTGATCAGATCTGGCTGACAGTAGTTGGGGAGCAAAGCCAGGGCGTCCAGCTTCGCCCTTAACTGCAATACATTTCAAACGAACACAGTTTTTCAGTTAAAAGAAGCATTTCTTCTCTATAAGAAGGTATAGATTCAATTTTATTAGAAAACGAAAATTCAGCCACCTCCAACCCCAGAATGCAGGGAGCACCCCGGGGATTGAGGGCTCCTGAGCGTGAGTCTGCAGCCCAAACACTGACTCTCCTCTTTCCCTCCACCCCGTTTCCCCTGTACCCCCCATAGAAGGCCAAATTCAACTGGGACCCAGAAACCGTGGGGATGATCCACGGTTCCTTCTTTTGGGGCTACATCATCACCCAGATTCCGGGCGGCTACATCGCGTCTCGGCTGGCAGCCAACAGGTAACGCGTCCCCAGGGCGGGGGGTAATGGGGCTGGTACCCTCACAAGGGGCATCAGAGGCTGGGGGCAGGGACCACAGCCCCGCGGGGATTGGAACTCTTGGGCGAGGTCTTCTGGTCCGCTGGCACCCCATCTCTCCGGGCTGGAACTGTTCGTACCTCGTTCCAGAATTAGGCACCCAAGAGGATTTGGGATCGCCAGGCAGGGCCCTGGTTGCCGCTTTATCTCTGCCCTGGCTGAGCCAGCTTTTCGCCAAATGGTCTACGTGCCTTAAGGCCTGGTAAGAGCTGAGGCCAGGCGGGGTGTGGCCGGGCCGGGACTGAGCGGCTGGGTGCACAAAGGCGAGTGTGTTGGGGGGCGTCACGTGCTGCGCTCTCGGCAGGGCGTCCCTCGGGTGCCCCGGCTCCCTGTGGTGCTGACCTCCCGGCAGGGCGCATCGAACGCCGGGCCACCGAGCCCGCCCAGATGGTGCTCTGGGTCTGAAGGATTTGTTTCTATGGAGGCAGGCGGGATTTCAGGCGCCGGGGGTGCGATTCCACCTGTTAATGAGCTCCAGCGAATAGGGGCGGGGGTGGGGAGGGCGCTCAGCTGAGTCCCTCGGCCTCCAGCAATGCAGCGGTGGCTGCGGTCGAGCTCCTAGCGCCAGCTCTGGGAATGCCGTCGGGGTCAGCTGCAGAGACACCCCAAAATATGGGGCATAAGGACTGATAAGGTTTGGGATACCAAGGAGCACAGCCTGGCCACTGGAGGGTGAAAGGCAGATTTATTTGCTTCCTTGTGTATATTAAGATGAATAAAACCAAGTGCTCCCTAAGTCTGAATTGGAAAACTCACAACGCAAGCACTCACGTTTTCAGGTATCCCTTCGTGAAGACTCCAAGTAAAGACTTCCGGTCTTTCTTCAGACCTTGTATCTATGACTTCACCTTTCTCCCTCCCCTCCAAACTCAGATTTTTCTGAGGAAGAAATCTTGAACGGGGCACCTCTCCGGTCTTGATCTCTTCTTTGTTTTTGTAAATTGGTCCCTCCTCATTTCTCAGTAAAATCTCCCACGCCTCTTCTAGTGGCTTTTGTCACCTCCAATTCCATTCACCAGCTGTGACTTCCTGCCCAAGACTTTTCAGTCTGCTCCAGAGCCTAGGGAAGAATTCTTGGAAATTTATTTTAGGTTTAGCAATCCTTGGACCAGAATTTTTGAACATTTTTTCAAAATGTCAAAAGAAGAGGGCAAAAGATTAGGAATAGTACCTTTTGAATATCATCTTTACCTTGACACCACGATGGTTAGCACTCAGACCCAACAGGAGACAAACCAGTCTTTTAAAAAAGGGATCAGTGTAAAATTAAAATCATTAACTATTTACAAAACCCAATTCTATAGATGAGATAAATCAAATTGAAGAAAATATGTCATTAAATAGTACTGGTAATGTAGTAATGAGCATGTTACATTTTTGGCTTTCATATCCCTAATGTATAATGTCTTGAATCTTTTTTTCCCCCTAAATTTTTTTTTTTAAACAATATAAACTTCCCAGAAAGATAATTCAAACATAGATATATAAGTATTTTCACTTCAGGGAAAAAACAACCGAAAATTCACACACACACACACACACACACACACACACACACAAATGATACAGCAAACTCAATGTAATGTGAAGTGAAACTATATTATGACTGTGCCTTTAAGTTTTTTTTTAGAGTCAAAACCTTCAGCTTGCCAATTGTTAAAATGCTAACATTTTCCTGCCAGGAAAAAACACCAGGGATGCCCCAGCTTTCCCTCGTTGTAACACTGGGAGGTCAGTAAACAGGTTTTTCTGGTTAACAAACAAAACAAAACAAAACAAAACAAAAAAACAAAAAAACAAGCTCATCGCTATCATTTGTGTTATGTTTATTAAAGACTAATGCTAACTGAGGTTCTAATTGACTTGGTAGATTTTCCTTAAAGGAAACAATTGTGAACTTTAGAAGTCCTATTTGGATCTGAAATGGATGTTCAAGGAAGAGAAACTTAATATTTTCAATGTCTTATGTCCTCCAAGACTGAGAAAACTAAGTTAAAATTTATTGTAAAATACTACAAACATATGGAAAATATAGAGTAACTTCCTTATCAGACCTTAGGATTTTGACATATTTGCTTCATTTAAAAAATATAACAAAACATTACAAATACAGTGGAAATTTTCTGTGAAAACAGGTCTAAAAGATATATAACATTTTCTTTTCTGATGAGAAAACTACTGTATAATAGGTAATAAAAATATATAAAAAATAAAATGTAATAAAAATCATAAATAATTTAATCACACCAAGACCCTATTGTTAATATGTTGGTAAATGTCCACGTAGTCCTATATATGCTACATGGAATTTTATTTTGAAAAATTTTTTTTTAAACATAAAATCTGAAAGACTTTTATAATTGTTTTGAAAGATGTACATTTCCTATGATGTTACCTTTTCAAAATAGTAAAAACAACCCAGCAAGACCAGTTTTCCACCTACAGATATCATGTGCCCATTCCAATAAGCCTCTCCCTATAGATCATCTAATAGTAGAACAAGATTCCCCTTGGGGGGGTGGGTACAGGGATAGAGTCCTGTCTGTCTAGGTATAAAAGAAGCTCCCTTTGGAAAGTGTTTGTCATCACAGTCATGGGCAGGACTAGAGTAGACGAACTGAGGTGTGTGGAGACTGCTCCTCTAGAGAGAAGAGCTCCTGGCTACTCCCCCTGGCAAATTTCTCAATGAAAAACCCACAGCAGTGATTTTGCCTCTCCATTTTGTGCTTTAAACAAAAGCAGCAACACCCTTGGTCAGAATACAGATACTTGGTCCCTTTCTGGTCAAATTTCAAGTATTCCTGTTTTCCTCCTCATTGAGAGACAAAGCCAGGGGAGTCAAGGGGAGAGAAAGGACTCTTGCATCATGTTTTCCTTTGTCTTTGTCTTAAAGGGCTATTGCACATTGTGGGCAGGAAAATTTAGTCACCTCCATGGAGGGCTTTGGGGTGAGGAAGCCAAGGAGGAATCCTTACAAAATCTGTGGTGTTTTTAGATGAGAACATACTTACTACACGGATAAAAATGCATCGGGGACAAATTCATTTTACCTTTAAACAGTCCACGACATGGTCTTGCAGTAATCCGGATAATTACAAATGTGGAATTGCTAAGGATTATTTTTTATCTTGCATATGGACTGGTGAGGAACCTAGTCAAGTACTTAACAGGAGAAACAACAGAATTTTGACCAAAGACATAACCAAAGATGGCCAGATTTACCAAAGAATATTTGGTCAATGTTATGTTTTTCATGGCCAATATTGTCTTCACAAAGGCTATCCTTTCTGTCTAGGGGCAATATTATTTAAGCTTATTTAAAAATTTTCCCTCTCCTGCTCCTGTCCTCTTGATCTTCCAATGCTGATTTGGTTCTTTACAGAGCACTTATTGCCAGCAGTCATACAGGTATTTTACTTATCTGTTTTCTCCATTAAAATGTAAGCTCCATGACAGCAGGCTGTTGTGTCCATGTAGTTCTTCCTGCTATATCCCTAGCATTTCAAGAGTGCCTGGCCCATGACAGACACTTGTTGAATAAAAGTGTTTGGGATTAAAAAAATTTTTAAAGGCAGTATGGTATAGTGGTTAAGATACAGGTTCTAAGCACAAACCATGTGGGTTTAGACTCCTGAATGTACTATTTAATAACTGAATGACATAAAACATTATTCAACAACTCTGAGCTTCAGCTTATATTTCTGTAAAAGGGGATTAATCAAACTACTTACCTGATATGAGTATCATGACCGCTAAGTAAGAGAATCCATGTAATGTTCTTAGAAGTGCCTGGCCCGAGGTAATTGTTGGCTGTTACCATTTATTATTAATAACGTCCTGACTTCAGAAGAAAATGAAAGAATAAATAATGTCTTATGGCCATTCAGTATTACTCGTGTTTAAATCTGTTTTAAGCATTAGTAATGCAAAAGGATTATTTCTATTGTGATACAATGTATCTTTTCACCTGTTAGGTTCTACCTTTAAAATTATTTTTCCATACACATTATTTCCAGCTAAAATTATTGTTCACTGAAAATGCCTTACATCTCATTTGAAGAACTCTCTTAAAAGAGCTTTTCGGCCAATGGTATAGACAGTGCTAGTAATTCAGCGCATTCAGTCTTTGAATTCTAGTCAGGCATTATCAATACACTTAGAGAAATTCATTTAAGTTTGAGGGTAGACTTCTCTGTTGATAGTTACAATTTATTTCCCCTACGCCTATCCTTTATTTAAATAGTGTCTGATTCTGGTGCAACACTGTCTTTTCAGGTATTTCCTGGGTTTCTAGCCTGACTTTTGCTAAGGAAAAAAAAAAAGCTCTTTAGTTGAATTAAGAAATTGAACAGTGGACTTCGGCTAACAGAAAGAGCCCATAGTAAAGCAGAATAAGGGTCATCTAATCCAATCTTCTGATTTAGAGACCAGGAAAGGAAACAGAGAATCAGGGATCACAGATCACCAAGAGTTTGGGACTAAAACTCAGATGTCCAGGAATGCATGACCTCAGTCTATCTTTACACTGAAATTTAACATCTCTGCCTGATACCTTGTGCTTCACCACAAAGTTCACTTTCAGCAGCAAGCTGAGCCATCTGCTCTCTCAGTGAGTGCCTACAATCTATAATGCCCCAAATCCAGGACAGAAATCCAAGAATTAGAAGAAGTCTTTAGCAAGCCCAAGGGATCCTTAGATTTTGGTGGTAGGAAAAACATACTGTATTTGTGTGTGTGTGTGTGTGTGTGTGTGTGTGTGTGTACGGATTCCCGAATCCATATGAATGATTCTATTCTTTTCTTTGCAAAAGACAAAACCCAAACTTGGTTACGACTTAAAAAAACGACTTGTGATTGTCTATAGGAGAAAGCAGTATTTAGAACTTTTTCTCCCTACCTAGCCCTTTGGCAGTGTGGGCTCC